TTGTTTTATCTGACAAAAAAAAAAAAACTTTATGAGAAAACACCTGCTTGTGGGGCAGCAAACAGACTGTATGCCCAGGAAACAGCTGCCCATCCATTGTTGTCTGGAGTTTTGGTTTATGGACAACATGAATCTCTCAACAAAGCCAAGTTCCTCCTGATGACAATGGTCCAAGTAGGAGGCAGAGCTGAAGGCATGCAGTGCCAAATGAAGTGCAATGTCAGGCTTTCACTTGTTTTATTGCTTAGTCAAGTGGATGGGGCAGCCCTGCTGGGGGCGGCAGTAAAGGAGGAGGGGGAGATTACTTCACACTTTGGTTCTTTGCTGCTCTCCAACCATTGACAAGGACACACAAACGTACACACTGACACACACTAACATGCAGCCTGTGCCTGTTTCCTCAGGGTGTTATCATGGTTAACCACCTTTTCTAATGTCAACATTGTTAATGACAAACATGATGGAAAGTCAAAAAGTTATCAAACAGTATTTCTACAGTTTTATCCAGTTTAAATCTGGAAGCAACTTCAGCTAGTGTTTCTGTTGGAAAATTATTGGTCAGAATTATAGGGGGCACTGTTGCACATGGTCACAACTTTCTTCTCCTCTAAGGAGAGAAATTGTCAAAAAATTATTAGTATACGTTACTGAGAATGACTCCGACTTTATTCCAGATATGATGGATGAATAAATATAAAATAAAAGTATTTATAAAATAATAATTGCTTTGCTTTATAAAAAGTGAAGGAGCATAAACTTCATTAACATCCACACTGATGACACTGCTGTATGATACACCCAAAATAAACTGACTGTTTATATTACTGACATTGTGTAATTATTATCAACATGATTATCAAGTGATCAATATTGTCATGTATTTGTAACGGTTTTGACCAGTATTTATTTTAACTGTTGGAGTGTGTCCAACTGTACATGCAAAGGTGAAAAATTTGCCTGTGTGTTACTAGAGACATTTCCACCCGGTGATGAATATGTTTGGAGGATATTTTGGATCATTTCCAGTTTTGTTATTAAGGCTTTTGACAGTTTTGTTTTACATAGAGGCCAGCTGCACTGACAGTCTCTGCCAGTTCTGACTGAGGACGTTGTTATCATGCTTCATGTTGGTTACTGCCCCGGTAGCAACAACAGTACGGTGGACAAATGCAAATTTCCATTTCGAACATCATTATTAGAGTTTTGAAGATGCAAGAAATTAACATCTACTGGCAGTCTTAGCTAGTTGAAGCGTTGTGCCAGAGATCTCCAGGGGAGGCGTCCCTCACACTGTGAAAACCATTTTAAGAAAACGGATGCAGCTTTCCAGCGCCAGGGTATGAAAATAAAAAGCTCAAAGTTTCACAATTAGCTCTAAATAAAGCAGATCCCCCCTTGTGGGGTAGCATGGTAATGCAAAACACTGATATTTGACTCCATTCTGCCTGTTTATATGTCTTTACTGTCTATTTTCATGGTGATGAGGTTGAAGAGGACCTAGATCCCCCCTTGTGGGGTAGCATGGTACACACAGTACACACACCGACGTCTGCTTTTTCAAGAAAATACTTAGCAATGTTAAGCTAAACGGAGTGGTTAACACGTGGGTTTGCCAATAGACAAGATAAATAATAATGTATGCTTCAACAAATATATAAAACGTTCAGCCATTTACTTTCTCCAACCTGTGTGTGTGTGTGTGTTGTCTAAAGATATATCTGTGTTTAGACTGTACCATTATCTCAGAGGTTTTTGTTGCTATATCTGTCTCTAAGAAACCATGTTATAGTTCATTAATAAACTCAATACCCTTTAGCCTCAGCTAAGTTTCAGGCTCTAATTGCAGGCTATCTGAGTCAGGCATTACTCAGTTATGAACTGAGGGAGGCGCTCTTGGATCTGCTGGTACACCTAAAGGCATTCTGAAAAAATATTATCAGCCTTTTCAATAACTGTCAAACTCAGCCTGGAGGCCAGCCTGAATACACCATAAATACAAAAAGTCATTAAATTATGAAAAGTGTTGGTTTTCTGCCCTGATCTCCTCAAGAGGATAATAACAAAGAAAAAGGTAAAGAGTTCACTTGAAAAATCAAGTTTTCCGGCTATTCATCATTGGATTAAATGTGTTTAAAGTCAGGAACCGGGAATAAAAATAACACCCGGCGCTTGTTTTTGCACACAATGAAGAAGCCAATGCACTAATCCAGTGGCACAGGTGCACATATACCTGTGTAAGCAGAGTTAATACTCATAAAACCTCCTGGAAGGAGAATAAAGGCACAGGGAAAAGTTCCCACACTTTGACTGTTTTGTTTCGCTGTGCTTTTTCTTTTTTTCCCACTACTGCCAAAAGCTAAAGCAGTGTGCCCGCAATGAATGAAAAAAAAAAATGATGGGGAAGAATAGATGGAGGAAAACCAACAGTGACTCGTGTAACTCACCTGTTGGTGAGAGTTTTTGTTTGGTGTTCATTCAGAAAGCGGAGGGCTGGGCGGCCCCCTCCCTGAGGCAGTGCTGGTTCCCAGGTAGAGAGAGGAGCGATGGGAGGAGAGTTCTCACCACGCTCCCTAACTGTTCTCACCGCAGCTCATTGGTCAGATGTTGCCTCATCGTTGAAACGCGACACTCCTCCAGCAGTGCAGGCAGGTGTATGAGGCTGCAGGGCAGAATGAGGGCTGATAAGTGTGTGTGTGTGACTGTGTGTGTGTGTGCCAGACACACAGACAAAGAGATATGTGAGGAGGAGAAAAGGAAGGAGGGGGGGGAGGAGGGGTGATGTGCAAGTTTCACTCAGCTTTGTCATTCCTTCAGACTCTCTAAGTATCATTCATGTGTGTGAGGCACGGCTGATCATCCTGTATATGCCTGCGTGGGAAAATTCACCTCCCCGCAACCTTTGTGTTCAGCAGCTGCGGCACCAAACTGAAGACAGGTGTAGACGACCTGTGTATATTTTGCCAATACATATGCAAATGATCCTTTAATGTCTACAGCTGTTTCTCTTTGACTAAACCTTTCCTGTTTCCTGCTCTAACTGACCTGCTACTGTTGACCAAAGAAACTACATGTTTCCAGGAGGAGAACATGAAAGTATAGTACACAGATAAAACTATACACTGGTGGTCTTGGTTTTTTAGGCTTTGAAGATTCCAGGCAGGAAATCCTACAAATGTGTATCTATTTCTGAGAATTCTTCATTAAAAAAAAGAGATAACATATATGCAATGTGTTTTACAGTGTTTTATAAGTTGTTCTGTAATAAAAAGTCTGTAAACTGCCACCGTCATCACATCAGACAGTGTGTCCCGATCCCACACTTCTGAGTATTAATATTTCCCCTGAGACTGAGCCAAGCCTTGGAAATATTGATTCTTTATAAACTGATAATAAAACTTCATGTGACCAGGATGTTATTTTAACACTTCCTCAGTAGGATTAATGTTTCTTTTTTGTCTCGGTTTAATTGCTAATAATTGACCATAATAACTGGCTCAGATGTGTCCATCCTGAGCTAAAATGCAGGACTGGGTTTATGTTGACTTTAAAATGACCATTGTTATGAATGTGATGGTCAGTGGTTGTCGGTCTCCATGTGTGACCCTGTGATGGACTGGTTGACAGTGGAGGGTGGACCCCACACTCACCTGAGGACTGCTGTGATTGGCTCCTGCCAGCTGCAACTCTGAAAAGCAACAGATAAAAATGAATAAAATATTCACATCCTTTTTTCTCTCTCACATTTTATTATATTTATATTTGCTCTGTTTTTAATTCATCCATTTGAAACTTTGAAAAAAAGAGGAAACGTCTCAGCCAACCAACTTCTTCAGTTAAAAGAAATGACCACACACTGTTTATTACTGTGTGAAATAGAACCTGACAGAGCTTGAGCTAAGTTTGTGTTTTTGTTCTTTAAAACTATTTGAGTTCAGTCCAAGGTGTTAGGTTCAAAAAGTCAGTCGTGCATTATCTCTTAAAGTTTGACATTTGCTTGTGAATGGAGAACAAGTACACTAAGATATGAGTGAACCTGCTCTGCACCTAGGAACATCATGAACTCCTGGGTGGCTTCCTCCACTCAGCTCGTAACCACAGGATATCTCTTCAACAGCCTGCAGTGACAGCCAACTTCCTGGTGTGGGTTTCGACAGTGCATGGTTCTCATGCTTGGCACCACTTCTACCCACCTGGAGACATATTTACTGTTAGCTCAGCCTGACTGACAAGCAGCAATAACAGGTGACTGTTTAACTAAACGCTGTCTGCCCTCCTTAGTCAAAATTAATACAAACTACATGATGACAATGTTAAAGTTAGTTTGAAAGTCTGTATTTTACTTCTCTTCTTGAGCAGAACTGTTGAACTGCTGGCTGAGTCTGGTGTTACTCCAGTTTACTAATACTGTGTACACAAGTACACAATAAAAAAAAAAGAAAGCAGTAACCTATGTGGTATGTAGGTATTTGTTGTATTAATCATGATCATATATCTCAACCAATATTTTTAAAATCTTATTTCTAAAAAAAAAAAGGTTTTGTTTTTAGACTTCATTTGTTGCAGAATGCAATTTCAAGTTGACACCTATCCTTGTTATTGGCCAAGGTACGAAAATGTGATTAAAATTATGCAACATTGTGAAATAATAAGTAACTCCCAGCTGTTACAATGAACCCTGGGTCACAGTGAGGCCGGCAGCTCTGTGGTCTGCAACCACAGATGAGCAGCTTTGACACAATTTAACACTGATGTTATGTCTAATTAGACACTGTGCTATTAGGCTAATGCCCTCAGTTCTAGTGTTTTGATGACAGACCGTGGTGCAGAACTGTGGAGGTTTAATACAGTTGTGTTTTTGTGGACACCACCAAAAACAAGTTCACCCACAACTGCCAGGAAATACATTTCATACATACAACAAAGCAGCCAAGATGTTTGTGAAATGCTAGCCTTTGTTGTTTGTTTTCACAAGGTTTAAAGAATTAAATGCATGTAACTCTGTAGGCGTGTGAATGCAGTGCACACGCGTGCGAGCGGCTGCAAGCAATTGCCTCTGGTTTCTGCCTCAGCCTCTTAATGTGTCCTCGTCTGCAAGCCAGGCAGTGAGCCGGGCCGTGTGCCTGCTGCAGCTGCGTGTGTGTACGTGTGCATGCTTCCCTGCTCGTGTGTGTGTGTGCGTGCGTGCTTGTGTGTGTGTAACTGCTGACGGGACCTGTCACTATCAGGCGCACACATCTCTGGCACTGTCTATGTTGACACTCTGCCTGAGGGGGAACGAGTCTGCAGAGGTTGAGGAGAGCAGCGGTTTCCCACGGCTGCTGCTCTCAGCCCCGGCCCTGCCTCTGCATACCAGGGCTGCCAGCGCTCTGTAAATGTTTGGACAGCCTTGAACAAATAACACACCTTGAAAGGCACAGGCACAGGCTCTCTCTCTCTCTCTGCCTCTCTGCACAGCCCTTCGCTTCATCTGCCTCCTTAAGCTCACGTTGCTGACACCCCTAAACCACAAACCTACCTCCCTCAAAGCTTGGCTACCGCTCCACTCAAACATATCCAGCTTCATTTTCATACACAAATAAACCCCGACCTGCATTGTCACAGCACATGCAAACATACAGTTACACACCTGTGTGTGTGTGTGTACATGAATGTAAACACACCTTTCACTTTTAATCTTGACATCTGAGCGTCATTCAAATCGGTCAAGAAGACCAACTGCACAGACAATCACAATATACTGTAATGGGGACATTAGATCAACTGTTTGCATGTAAGTAAATAGTCTTTGATCAGTCAATTAAAGCAGGGGATTTTTCAATTTTTTCACACCTCAATTGATTAAAACTGCAGGTCTGCATCTTCTTCAGTTGCTTTACTGCCACCTAATGGCTACTTTTATATCTGGTAAACATACAGATGAACAGCCCGTTGCTTGACCACAAGCAAAAGAAAGAAAAAATACACACACACGGCAGCAAACCTGCACATGAATACAGCAGCATGGGTGACGTTGCAGGATTCTGTGTTTTCGTGAGGTTTGGGGAGTTCCTGCTGGTCATTATGATTTTAGTACTCATGTGTATTAACGGAAGCAGCCGGGAATTCACCCTCGAGTTACCCGCGGGGTTTAAACAGTACCTGTCCAACTATGATGGCAGTTCTCAGGGTCTTTCTGAAGAGCTTCTAATCATAAAACCAAAACATCCCTGGATAAATTTAGAATAATGACTACTTTCACTGTTGAACTTCTTTGAACCAAAACATGTCTGCCATCAGGACAAACGCCTGTATAATGTAGCCAATTGTGCACTGGGCCCGCCCTCATCCTGTACATGAACAGTCCATTCATTGGGCGCTGGGCTGGATGAGCAATAACATGGCACAATAATAGCCAGGCTGACTGAGTATGAATTTCCACACAACCACCCACACGTGCAGCCTGATGTCTGCCAGCAGCTGTGGAATCTGAAGTTCCTGCTCATAGTAAATCCCACGAAACATAACGCAGGACAACTTCCACTGCAGCAGTCGCTCAAACGCGGCTCTGTTTTCATTGTCAGTAGGCCTGGGGCTACATATTTCTGTAATTTGGCTTTTATGCTCAGCAGTTTTGCAGCTGTGATGACATTTGGGTGTCGCCCCCCTGTTTCTCACGGTCTCGCTGCCAACGCTGCTCCGGCCACTGGTCGGCTGCCAAGACTGAGGTCCGTGTGTCAGGCCCCCACTTCTTGTGTACACATGCACACTGAAAGAAGGTGCTTTTGAAAAATATATTCCTGGCAATCAAGTTCGACCGCAGTGGGATTTTTTTCCCCTCCTGTTTAGGTTCAATTTTCCAAACACAGGGTTTCAGAGGGAGGAAGGGTGTGAGACGTGCAGTGGATTAAAGCTGCTCAGAAAAGTCACAGAGTTTCTTCTCTTGGCTTTGAAGGTGCTTTGGTTTATACTCTACATACACATATATACATATTTTGATCTTTGAGGCCAGACAAATAAAACTTAGCAGACTAAATGCGTAATGTGTAATATTTTCATGTTCATGTAAAACCTTAGAGGATGTTTTAATAGGAAACTGTTTTATTTATTATTATTAATATAATGTATGTATTATTTAAATGTATTGAACGTACATAATTACTATTATATCATATTAAGATGAATTACACAGTATAATATTTTATAGTTCATTAATCCATGCTGACATTAACATTGCTATGATAAAATTCAAGCCAACAACTCTAATTGGCTCTTGCCTTTGTTCCTCCAGTTTACAAGACGCTGATTCAGCTTTGTCTTGATTAAATCTTTTTTATGAGGTAGTTGATTAATGCGTACGTACATGTTTGTCATTCTTTTTATCATCTATCTCCACTTTACTTCTTATGTAGTTCCGTTTAGATTTCATCCTGGAAAAAAAGTTTGATTAATTAAGTGAATGAAATGAATGACTTTACGCAGGCAGGTCAAAGGTCAAAGGGCAGCACTGACAAGACTGAAGGACTTCAGGATCTTCACTGACACAGAACATGGCTCTCAATTTTGGTACAACTATCTTACAACAAATAATTTTGCATTGCATTATTTTTTCCAGGTATCACCACAGTGGTGCAGTAGTAACCAAAATGATGAATTATTGGATGCCTCCTGATGCAACCCACCATTAGGGTCAGGAGGTGGAATTGAACTGGAGCTACTGCTTGACAGACCACTGCACCACCTGTCCCTCAAAGGTCCACGGTTATAAGGTAAATTTTCATTTAGGAACCAAACAACTCTGGTGCTTTTTTGGGCTATGTTGTGTGAACTAAACACTCATGGTAACATCAGTGGGACAGCAAGTGTTCAAAGACAGGAGTGTTTACACAAAATAAACACTGGACTGGACAGAAGAATCAATAAAATACATTCACCAGTTAGCCCAGAAAAAAGCAACTAGTTTTATCAGCCAGATAAAACCCTCACAGCCAAGTTCCTTTTGGAACGTATTGTTTCCTGGTTGGTAGGAAATTGATTTTTTTTTTTTTTCAAAGCAACAACTCATGTCTGGACACTTTTATGGCTTTTATCTGTTTGCTTATTCTGCCCAGCACAAGTGTGTGGACGTGCTAAACTCTGCACAGCCTCCTCATGCTGCAAAGACAGGATAAAACCGGCAGTCGCTTTGTTCTATTTGGAGGTCAGCGATCAATGTGGCCCACAGCCAATGCCGCCTACGGAGGCTGGACACAACTAGATCGGGTCGGGTGCAGATTGGTGTGAATTAAACATAATAAAAAATAGTATTTTGTTGCAGGACACTGCTGCGGAGATTCATTAAGAACAAACAGAATTCAAACATAATGTGACGGCAATATTTGTAAATGCATCACCAGCAAACATAAACACTACTACAGTAACTGTAATAAATGGGCTTTTCAGCCATTTCTGCCTATATATTTTTCATGGCACACACAAACATCTTAGGGTGAAATGGAACGAGTGACGGGGTCTAAAAATGTTGCCTTGTGATTGCGACACAGTTTTTTAGCCAAAGTAACGTCCAACGTTGTTTGACCGCCATATTGACGCGTCTTCACTGTGTTACAACAAGGAACTTGTTTGTCCGTTCCTAAAATCGTTTCCTGTGTGTTTGTGCGTGTATGTTTGTGTGTGTGGGACGTGTAGCAGGGAGTTTCCCTCGTGTCA